ATAATTTTGGTCTCAATGTGTGCATGCCTGGCATTATGTATCCTGAGAGTGCAGCGGGCAGTGCGTATCCTTGTGCATCTATGAGTGTATATCTAGGTATATACAGTTGCAAGAAAAAGTATGTGAACCCTTTGGAATGATATGGATTTCTGTACAAATTGGTCATAAAATGTGATCTGATCATCATCTAAGTCACAACAATAGACAATCACAGTCTGCTTAAACTAATAACACACAAAGAATGAAATGTTGCCATGTTTTTGTTGAACACACCATGTAAACATTCACAGTGCAGGTGGAAAAAGTATGTGAACCCTTGGATTTAATAACTGGTTGAACCTCCTTTGGCAGCAATAACGTCAAACAAACGTTTCCTGTAGTTACAGATCAGACGTGCACAACGGTCAGGAGTAATTCTTGACCATTCCTCTCTACAGAACTGTTTCAGTTCAGCAATATTCTTGGGATGTCTGGTGTGAATCGCTTTCTTGAGGTCATGCCACTGCTCCTTTAAAACACTGCCCATACCCCCTTCCCTCTCTTTCCCATCATTTGAAATTCATTCAGTTCACTTTTTCAAACCCTTCTCTGCTAACATTGCCGTTATCTATCGTCCCTCTGGTTCCCCTCACCTCTTCCTTGACCACTTTGCTGCTTGGCTAACCTACTTCCTCTCCTCTAACATTCCATCCCTAATTCTTGGAGATTTCAATATTCCCATTAACCCACCTTTGACCTCTGCAGCCTCTAAACTACTTTCAATTACTTCCTCCCTCGGGCTATTGCAGTGGGCTAATTCTCCCACTCGTGTAGCTGGCAATACCCTCAACCTTATTTTCTCTCATTCATGTACAGTATCTAATATCTGCAACACTCCATTTCCTCTCTCTGATCACCACCTCTTATCGCTTGCTCTCGATTACCCCCTCACCCAACATCCTCAGCCTAACCCCCCTCAACTCAGGAGGAACGTTAATTCTATTGACCTCCAGCAGCTGTCAGCTGAAATTGATTCACAACTGCTATTCATCCCTTCCCTCTCCTGTCCCTCACTGGCCATCTCCACATATAACACTACCCTCACCTCTGCCTTGAAAGCTGCAGCCCCACTCCAAACATGCACCTTGAGGAGGACACGCCCCCAACCTGTGCATACTAAATCAACACGCTATCTGCAGAGTTGCTCCCGTTGTGCTGAACGCTCCTGGAGGTCCCACACCTAGGCAGACTTTCTCCATTATAGATACATATCGGGTTTATACAGTGCAGCCCTTGCCCTCGCCAAACAGTCATATTTTTCCTCTCTCATTAGTTCATGCTCCCGCAATCCCAGACATCTCTTTGACACCTTTAACTCTCTTCTCTGCCATGCTGTGGCCACCCCCCAAACTAACTTTATAGCCGATAGCTTTGCATGCTAATTTACCAACAAGATTGAACAGCTAAGGAAAGAATTCTTCCCTCCTTGCCACTCTCTTTCTCAACCACACGTAAATCATGCCTTTCCTACCCTTCAGACTTTCTCCCCAGCTATGGAACAAGAGGTGGTTGAGCTTTTCCTTTCCTCTTGCCCCACCACTTGCCCGCTCGATCCTGTCCCATCTCACCTCATCAGATCTCTCTCCCCTTGTCATCTTTAACTGCTCTCTCTCTTCGGGCATTGTCCCTGCTGACCTTAAACATGCCATGTTAAGACACCCCTGGTGTCTTTAAGGGAAACTGCCGTTTAGTTAACCTTCCCCTTTTGCAATATCAATAACTCCGTTCGCATAGACTGCAGTATACGAACCACCATCAGGGGAAGCGGTAATCTCCCGACCGGGATCCGTGAAAGGCTCCAAACTCCCGAACAGAAATCCACTAACAGCCGAACAAAGATATCCACCAAGCGGCTTTCGGTTCCAATAATCAGTCTCTAGGCGTAAATAATAAATCCCCCCAATAACGAGACAGAAGCTCCGCATTGAGGGTCAAACAGGATCTGGCTTTACTGTGGGCTACCCGCCCGTATTTATGCAGGTCTCCCACTTGGTGGACACTCCCCTAGGGGACCAAATGGGAGACTGTAATGACAGATAGACATGGGGACATTTCAGACATACAGATGTAAACTTTTCCCACAATGCAATATTGTTTCCTCCCCTCTGCCCTGGAGATAATTGAGAAGTAATTCAATTCTCTCCAGGACAAAGACAAATCGCCATCTTAACTAAAATGCCAGAAAACACACAAAAATATATAATTCTACAACTACTGAACATTTCACATTCGTATCACACATCCCCAGATAGCCTGGATCTGAGGGCATATTATTAGCGACTAGCGCTCAGATCCCACACACATAGTTCAATCGCCATGGAGTCAAAGTTCTTACAGTCTTTCGGTATGCAATTGACTCCATGGGAAGGCTATCTGGGTTAAGGCTTTTCGTGTGATTCCAAACTCCCGAACGGCTGGTGTTCGCATGCTTTCATCGGTGGAGTAGGACGACCCGTTGTTTCAGCGGTGTTCGGCAGAAAAAGTGTCCGTTTTTAGTTCCATGAAATCAGTGCCGAACACCGCTGGTCTTTCGTGTGTTTTAAAATGGCCGCTGCCTCGTGGTCGACATACGAACGATGGCCACCCTGAATTCGGTTTAATTGAGAGGTGTCTGAGGTTAACCACAACGTTCTAATTGGGATCAAGAGGTTAACCAGCAGCACACTTCTATCCTGGGTGGCCATCCGTTCGGTAGATTTGTTCGGTAAAAAGAGTCATTCGTATGGCTGGGCTATAGAAACAGCCATTTACACGAAGGAGGGCAGAAATAAACGAATCCACCACAATAGGCAGACAGATGGCTCTGTCACATGCCACTGTAGTACCTATCCTGAAAAAAACATCTCTTGACCCATCCTCCCCTTCTAACTATGATCCCATATCCCTGCTCCCTTTTTCCTCAAAGCTTCTGGAAAGACTTGTTTTTACCTGTGTGTCTCACTTCTTCAATTCCAACTTTCTCCTTGAACCTCTTCAGTCTGGCTTCCGCCCTCTCCACTCTACTGAGACTGCTCTTATCAAAGTTACTAATGACCTAATCGCAGCTAAATCCAAAGGCAACTACTCCATATTAATTCTTCTTGACCTCTCTGCTGCCTTTGACACCGTTGATCATGCTCTCCTTCTTCAAACTCTTCAATCGCTCCATCTCTGTGACTCTGTCCTCTCATGGATTTCCTCTTATCTCTCCCAACGATCATTCAGTGTCTCCTTTTCCAAGGATACCTCCTCCCCTCGTCCTGTCTTGGTTGGAGGTCCCCAAGGCTCTGTCATTGGTCCCCTTCTATTTTCTCTTTATCCTGTCTCTCTTGGCAAACTTATTGCCTCTTTTGGATTCCACCTGTACGCTGATGACACCCAAATATATCTCTCCTCCCCGGACCTCTCCCCTGCCATCCTGCAACGTGTCACTGCTTGCCTTTTATTCCATCTCTTACTGGATGTCTTCCCGCTTTCTGAAACTCAATCTCTCTAAAACTGAACTCTTTGCCTTCCTCCTACTAATACTGACTCTCCTCCCTCACTCTCCCTTCAGGTCAGTGGTATCCACATAAGTCAATCCTTGCAAGCACACTGTCTTGGCATCATACTTGACTCTGGCCTTACCTTTGAGCCTCACATCCAGTTTGTTGCCAAATCCTGTAGATTCCAACTTAAAAACATAGCCCGCATCCGCCCCTTTCTTACGCAAGATGCTACCAAGGAGCTTGTCCATGTTCTAGTAATTTCCCGCATGGGTTATTGTAAATCTCTCCTGATTGGTGTTCCCAAAAGCGGTATTGCCCCGCTACAGTCTGTAATGAATGCTGCCGCCAGACTGATTTTCCTCTCTAGTCGGTCCTCTCACACCTCATCCCTCTGCCAATCCTTACATTGGCTCCCTGTATCCTATAGGAGTCAATTCAAAGTGCTAACCCATACATGTAAGCAATGAACAATTCTAGCCCCTCTTATATCTCTTCACAGATTCATAGGTATGCCCCTCCTCATTCCCTCCGCTCTGCCCGTGACCACCTCCTGACCGATGCTCACACCCGTACTGCAAACTCGCGCTTGCAGGACTTCTTGCGGGCGGCTCCCTTCCTATGGAATAGCCTGCCTACCCCCCATCAGATTCTCCCCTAGTCTTCAATCATTTAAGAAGTGCCTTAAAACCCATCTCTTTAGGAAAGCTTATGGCCTCCCAGAGTAACCTCTACCTTACATACCTGTCTCTTGCTCTCTCCTAAAGGGCAGCACTCTACTCTCTCCTCCAGCTCCGCTTCACTCCCACCTTATTTGATTGATATTTCCTGTCCTAATTTGTTTTATACCCCACATCCTATAGATGTAAGCTCGTTTGAGCAGGGTCCTCTTCAACCTACTGTTCTTGTAAGTTTTCTTGTAATTGTCCTATTTATGGTTACATCCCCCCTCTCATAATATTGTAAAGCGCTACGGAATCTGTTGGCGCTATATAAATGGCAATAATAATATACCAGTGATATTAAGAATAAGTCATTTCATCATTTAACGATCCCTTACTTACACTAAAAAGTATTCAGGTTCTAAAATATATATTTTAAGATTTACATCTTAACAATGATTTGACTTGGCAACACTGTCTGTAACCCCCCACATTCTGTATCTCCAGGAGTTCAGGGCCGGACTGGCCCACCGGGATACCGGGAAATTTCCCGGTGGGCCGCGGCACCTGGGGGGCCGGAGAGAGAGAGGGAGCCCTGCTCCCTTTATTTTAATAATATCGCGGTCACCGGCTGCATGTCGGTGCCGCCGGGTGGCAGGCCCGGCGGCACACTCTGAGGTGATTACTCACCTTGCGGCCGGCGGCCCCATCAGTATCAGCTGTCAGTATGAGTGAGTGTGCTGGGTGGCCGACTAAGCGATCCAGCGGCACACTCACTGATACTGACAGCCGCAGCACTGGAGGTCTGAGGGAGGGGGCGGAGATAGCTACCATGCTCCCTCGCGGTTCCCAGAATTCCCAGCATCTACACATCATAGAGTAGTGATTACTCTATGATGTGTAGATGCTGGGAATTCTGGGAACCGCGAGGGAGCATGGTAGCTAGCTCTTCCCTCTCCCTGAGACCTCCTGTGACAAGGTCAGAAGGGACACAGAAGGGAGGGGAGACAAAAAGAGGGGAAGGAGGGGGGACAAATAGAGGGGAAGGAGGGGGAGACAAATAGAGGGGAATGGGGGAACAAATAGAGGAATGGGGGACAAATAGAGGGAATAGAGGGACAAATAGAGAGAAGGGAGACAAATAGAGAACAAGGGAGTATTAAAAAGAGGGGAATGGGGAGACAAATAATAGAAATGGAAATAGGGGAATGGGGGAGACAAATAGAGGAATAGGGGAGACAAATAGGGGAATGGGGGACAAATAGAGGGTAATAGAAACACAGGGGAAGGGGACACACAGAGACTGAGGGGTAATAGAAAGACACCAGGTTGGGGGCAAAGAGACAGAGCTGTAATAGAGACATAGGGCAAGGGGGGACACAGACAGATGGGGTAATAGAGAGACAGGGGATGGCGGGACAAAGAGAGGGGTAATAGAGAGACACCAGGGAAGGGGGGGACAAAGAGACAGAGGGGTAATAGGAGGCTGGGGGGACAAAGAGAGGGGTAATAGAGAGACACAGGAGAAGGGGGACACAGAGACAGAGGGGTAAGAGAGAGACATGGAGGAGATGGAGAAGAGAGACACACGGAAGGTTTGTTGGGGGGACAAAGAGACATACAGTAGGGAAGGGGAACAAAGTGACACAAGATTTGTGGGAGGCAACGCTGGGCTGGGGAAAAAGAGACAGAGAGTGACTGGGAGAAGAGAGAGGCACACAGAGTCTGGAGTTAGAAAGAGACACACAGATGAGATTTGGAAGGGGAGAAAGAGACAAGAGGCAGGCATTGGGCTTGTTTACATATTTATTGCAATCACCAATCAGTCTTTAATCTATAAAATGTCTGTTAATATTTGCAATTACCATCTGTTTCCATGTTACAAAACCTTAACTAACAACTGGGGATTAGCAGATGCAGAAAGTTTTTTTAATATCTTTCACAGAGAATTATAGGATACAAAAAACTCTATGTACCTGGTTTCCCTGCTAGGCGACACAAAATTACCACCTGTCATATTCCTATATAATATTCTTCTTCTTTACAGTTGTTGCTCTTACCACAGAGCTTATCTAAACATGTTTTAGGTCTACAATAGCAGTGATTACTGAGAGTAACGAGACACTTTGCAAAATGATTTCCCGGAAATGACTCCTCGACTATTATTATGTAAGCATTAATGCATATCTATCCGCCTGCTGTGTGATATTTCAACAGATAACTTGTGAAATTTGGCAAGTCAGGGTATGCAAACACTATGGGCAAATTGGTCAGACAATCACCTGGAACATGCACACTGAGCAAAATTATTGTATCCTGGTGGCGTTGCTATAGCAATACATTTTAAGCCAAAACTGTAAATGCTAACCGGTGGTTGGTATTAGTGGATGTAGAAGTACTGTGTAGACATTAAAAGCATGTTTGGACTAAGAAAACCTTTTAGAGTTTTACAGACGTAGATATAAACTGGCTGTTTGCTATTAGCAATGCTTAATGCATAGACATTTGCAGAAAATTAGGGTGTGCACACAGGCCTTGGGGGGTGGGGGGGGGGGCATGTCAGTGAGGCCCAGAAAAGGTGGGTCCATGCAGAATAGAGGCTGGTTCATTGGCAGAAGTGGTATGTCAAACTGGCATAAATGCACAACAGCCTGACTGAAAGCTGGCGCCACATAGAGCACATCATGCAGAGAGTGCTGCTAAAGTGCCCTCTGCATGGTCCTAGAGCCCTCTGCACAGTGCATGTGCATCTAATTATGCACTCAGGCAGTGATGGTTGTGATGGTGTCCCCAGATGTGTGACACCAGGGAACCAACTCGGTATGGTGGGTCAGGACCTCAGTATAGGAACTATTCAACAGAAATCG